TGAGTATCAGGCCATTGTGTCAGCTCACCTGTGATTATTACCTATACACAGTGCGGGTCGTGACGGAGTGCGAGCAAGAGGGTGGAGGGGGCAAGAGGGTGATTATTACCTATACACAGTGCGGGTCGTGACGGAGTGCGAGCAAGAGGGTGGAGGGGGCAAGAGGGTGGAGGGCAGGGGGTGGAGGGGCAAGGGGTGGAGGAAAGGGCAAAGGGGAGGAGGGCAAGGGGGTGGAGGGGCAGGAGGAGGAGGGGCAAAGGGGAGGAGGCAAGGGAGGAGGGCAAGGGGTGGGAGGGCAAGGAGGAAGAGGGGAAAGGGGAGGGAGGGGGCAAGGGGGTGGAGGGGCAAGAGGAGGAAGAGAGAGAGGGGCAAGGGGGAGAATGGAAGGGCCGGGGAACTCCACCTGATTCACCGTAATTTAACACTTGCCTAAATAACCTTATCAACCCTATCTTTATCTAACGTACCATTACCTATTATACCTGTGTCACCTGTCCTAACTAACCTACCTGTGTCACCTGCCCTAACTAACCTACTTGTGTCACCTGTCCTAACTAACCTACTTGTGTCACCTGTCCTAACTAACCTACCTGTGTCACCTGTCCTAACCTACCTGTGTCACCTGTCCTAACTAACCTACTTGTGTCACCTGTCCTAACTAACCTACCTGTGTCACCTGTCCTAACCTACCTGTGTATTAAAACCTAAGGTGGTGGGATTATCTTTACTTAACTAGCGTAAACATTGTTCAGTGTCCGTCAGACTTAAAGCGACAAGTGATCAAGAATACACAAACGTAATATTAATATACACAAGTCCTGAGAATGTTCGTCAAGCTTCAAGTTAGGTTAGGTTAGGTTAGGTTAGATTTAGGTTAGGTTAGGGTTAGGCTAGGTTAGGTTAGGGTGATAATGAGGAATCACTGTTTGGGAAGAAATGGTGATGCGCAGAGATACTGTCATGACCGGTAACTGAGGTAAGTCGTTCGGGGTGGGGGAGGTGGTGGTGATGGCGGAGGTGGTGGTGGTGAAGGTGGTAGTGGTGAAGGTGGTGGAGATGGTGATGGTGCTAGCCGAGATGATGGTAGTGGAGATGCTATGTTGTATGGTGATCGGCACTACAACCATCGTGACAGTACTTCAATTCAAAACCACTTATCATCAAATTTTTCCCTTTGGTGTTATGTAAAGGTACCTCAATTATTGTTACCGTAAGGCATGTACAATAGTGAACTGTATTATGCCTTAAAGTATCAAAATATTTCCGAATGACTGAAAATTTCGTTCTCAAGATATCAATATCGTAAGTGTTTTTCTGTAGATCAAACAAACGTCTTGGTTCTGGAACATTCTTCTATCTGTGTAGTTGGTGTCATTAAAGGTTGGTTGATGTCGTAAGACCCGTGGGTATTCCTTCATTTACGAAGATTAGTTGTATTATGCACACTTGAGAATGTGGGTTAAGGGCAGTGTACAAGTGGCTGTCTGAGGCTATACAAGAGAGAGAGAGAGAGAGAGAGAGAGACACACACAATATTCACACTTGTCTGTGGTAGAGGAAGTGGAACATTGAATCAAGAAACACAGTCAGCATGTCTCCTCTCTCTCTCTCTCCTCTCTCTCTCTCTCTCTCTCTCTCTCTCTCTCTCTCTCTCTCTCTCTTCATGTCTTTCTTTCATTCCTCTCTACTATTATTTCTATTTTTACCTTTCATCCTGATTCCCCTCCTTTCATAATTCCTCTCCTTCTCCTCTTCTTCCTCTTACGTTTACATGCGGTCCTCCTCTTTTCCCTCTTCCTCCACCTCTTCATTCTCTCCTCCTCCTCCTCTACTTCTCCACTCTTTACCCCTCCTCTTGCTTTTCACTTTCTCCTCCTCCAACTCCCCTCCTTCTTCTCGTCCTTCCTCTCTCCCTCTTCTTCCTCCTTCCTCTCTCTCTTCCTCTTCCTTCCTCTCTCTCTTCCTCTTCCTTCCTCTCTCTCTTCCTCTTCCTTCCTCTCTCTCTTCCTCTTCCTTCCTCTCTCTCTTCTCCTCCTCCTCCCTTACATCACGACCTTGACATGCCTCCTCTAGATGACGTCACTATTTCCGCCCTGATAACTGGCGTGAGTGACCTACAAAGTTGTGATGACATAACTACTGTATCTCCCTCCCTCCCTCCCTCCACCATAAAGCTCACCTTCCCTCCACACACCCTGGGAGCTTCACCCTTACAGACTCCTGCCTCAGCTGCGCCATATGGAGAACACTTACCAGAGAGTCTCACCCATTAAGAGTACCAAGATGGCTGTCATAAATCTGTCTTAAGTGTGCCCATAGACAATAGGCTCATAAGCTCAAGGGCGGTCGCGGTGTGTGTGTGTGTGTGTGTGTGTGTGTGTGTGTACGTCGAGGCTTTCCAGTCGTATTTAATAAGCTTTTGTTCTCAAAGAATGACAGCGGTTAAGGGCGAGGTCTTTTCAGTCTGTATTGGAGGCTTGGTTGCTCGTGAATAAGTTCTGGTAATTGGGAGTGTTAAGTCATAGTCAAATTACTTTTAATTGGCCAGGTGTGTTCGTACCTGTTCATCACTGGTAGCGGAGGTACTCAAGTTGGCAGTACTTTCTAATCTCACCATAGCAACCATTCGAGACTTGACGTATAAGTACTGGGGGATCTCGTTACGTTTAGTCAGAGGGAAGTAATTACTAGTTAGTTAAGGCGGGCACAGGAGCCGTCATTAGCAGGTGGGTAAATCACCACAACCACCCCAGCCAGCCGGAGAATGACAGAGAATGAGGTGATTTGTTGACTTAGTAGGGAAGACTGTGACAATATATTCTGACGACCTGTTGTATGAGCATGGACGTACGGTTGTAGAGAGAGCGTAATGAAGGTAGGGTAGGCAAGGGAGGGGGTAGATTGAACCTTAGAGGATATGGAGTATCGGGGGGTTCATAGGTGTGGATTCTTGGTATCGAGGGTTCGTGGGTTCAAGGTTCATAGTCAGTTGTTTACTTTAATGAGATTTATGGGTTCTGATTGGTCATGATATTAATCTTTGAACATGTAAAATATTGTGAACGTCTTCTTTACACACACACACACACACACACACACACACACACACACACACACACACACACACACACACACACACACACACAGTGCCGTACCAACTTTGAACCCTGACATGACCTCTTGAGCAACTGGTGTTCGGATTGGGTGGTTTATGCCCCAGTTTCCTCATAATGTTAACATAGTACAGTTAAAATAGTTCTGGGTCACCTGAATATTAGACACCCCAGCTGATATTACCTGATGATTTAACACCCTATAGCTAACCTAACCTTACTAACCTAACCTAACCTAACCTAACCTAAGCTAACCTAACCTAACTTAACCTAATCTAGCTTAACCTAATCTAACCTAACCTAACCTAAATCCTCCCCTCCCACCCACCCACCCAGGTAGCATTAGAGTGTTTAATCATCTAACAAATATTCTGGTGTCTCACATTTTCTCCACATTTCTCAGTCACCTTATGGGGTTTGAGCCACACACACACACACACACACACACACACACACACACACACACACACACACACACACACACACACACACACACACACACACACACACACACATACACACACACACACACACACACACAGATCACTGCTTGTAACTCGTGTCTTTATGTAGATAAGAAGTGAAGGAAAAAAACTGGTTCGTCATGATGAAAGAACACTTACGATTGCGGAGAGACACAGACAGACAGACAGACAGAGAGCGTGTGCGTGACTGTCTGGGTAAATGCAAGCTGTATGCAAATGTACTTTATGAACGTGAACGTGATGAAACGTGACACGAGCAGAGAGGAACGTAAGAACGAGCGTGTGCGTGTGAAAATAGAACACAGAGAATACTAGACTCAGGTACCCAAGGTCACAATATGATCGGAACTCCATTCAACCATCAACTAAATCACGGCACTTAATTACACCTGGGTCGACTGGTGGTGCCTATGGGGAAGCGAACCAATGACCATTAGGACTGGTGGCGAGCTATGTATCCACTCAGCCATAAATGGATAGTGAAAATGTAAGCACTATTACACACCATATGTAAGTCCATGAAGAATTTAATGGAGACGCCGGGGTTAATGCTGTTATACACAAATGAGTTTTATGAACTCGAGAGCCATTAAACGCGGTGGAGTAGAAGACCAGACGTTACCTTCTTGTTCCACGCTGGGCGGACACCACAGTGCGTTTAGGCGAGTTAGTCCGTTCACGTACACTACACTGTGGGCGTGGGAATCTTCATACAGGCGTGGTGGCGTGTATCTGTGCGTGTGAAAGTGGCGTGTAAGATGAACACGCGGGAGTGCAGTGTGTATGCGTGCGGAGTGTGAATATGTGTGTGTGGTGTGTGACTGTAGAGAATGAGTGTGTGGTGTGTACGTGTAGTGTGTGTGTTAGTGTGGACTCTTGAGTGTGACGTGTGAGTAGAGTGTAAGTGTGACGTGTATGAGTGACGTGTATGAGTGACATTTGAGAGTAGTGACAAATGAGTGTATGTATTTGAGTGGAGTGTGAGAGTTTTAGATTGAGAGTGGCGTGGGGAGTAAGAGCGATTTTTATTTGATAAGTTCTCTATCTCTCAGTCTGATGGCTTAAGTATCTCTGTCTCCCAGTCTCTCTCTTGCCCCCCCCCCCCTCCCGCCGCCCCTCTTCCTTTCAGTCTTTCTCAAGTAAACACACACACTCTTTTCTTCTCACTCTCTAATTCTCAGTCACACTCTCACTTTCTCTCTCAGCCATCATAGACGTCAACCTGGGTGTGTGTTTGTATCTGTGATTTTGTGTGTGTGTGTGTGTGTGTGTGTGTGTGTGTGTGTGTGTGTGTGTGTGTGTGTGTGTGTGTGTGTATTTCCTCTTTCTTACGCCATGTGTGTATACAAGTGCGTGTTTGTGTGTTTGTATAAAAGCACAAGGAACACAAGAAAATATATGATAATTTCCAAAGAATTTATTAACATACGAAATACAGAAAGAAAACAACAACAATAAATAAATCTTTGAGCTAAAATAAACTTTGAGGTCAAGAGGATGTTACAGAAAGTTACCCTCACGTTGATTGGCTGAATCCAACATGTGGGAGCCAATAAACGACAACTTCTGTCTTAATATATAGGCCTACTAGCTGATTGGTAGATATGTTTGACTATATAACCAATCAGAATGAAGCTCTCCTACACCAATACATTACAGCATAAAGCTTTCACACGCTCATACAATGACTCACACCTCATTATTAACACCATTATAATATACTCCTGTGCGCCATTAACACTACTGGAATGTTTCACTGCATAAGGATTCATTACTGTTATTATTTACATCATAGTTAATGGTTCTATATATATTTTCAAGTTTATAAATCTGTAATTCTCATTTTTTTATGCCATTTCTTTATTGATTTTGTTGGAGAAATCTTGTTTATAATTATCTATTTTAATTTTGTGATAAGGAGACTAAGTTAATCAGGTCTTCAGGCGAATCTGATTTTGGGTAGAGTATTGAAACTGAATTCAGGATTGTCTGATTTGATGTTTAATATAAATATAATAAGGTGGTTAATTGTGCAGTTTCCATAACTCTTAATATTTTCTTTAGGTTTTGTATATATATATATAATAAGGCACATTTGTGATCATTAGGAAAAAGCCAAGCACTTTCATTCTTAATTGTAAAAAACACTCACACACACACACACACACACACACACACACACACACACACACACGTACAGAAGAATATATTGACCTCTAATTAAGGGAATGTGGTCCCAAGTTTCTTTATTCTCAATTCTGAAGTGATGGTCCCTTAAGAAGATCTAAATTACTAACACATACATACCTGGAGATCTCTTAACTATACCGGATCTTACTGTACAACTAGTATGGGCCTAATTAAAGAATCATCTATTTCCAACAAACTACTTTAAAAAAAATCCCTTAATTAATCAAGTATAACAATTAACTAATGAAAGCAAAACATAGGAGGTACAGGAGAGAGCAGTCCTTACGATACAACACTACAACACATACAACACTACAACACCCGAGCCTTGATAACTGACAGGTACGTCTCCACACACGAGTGATTAAGACAACAACACTGGGCTCTGTTAACACCTGTAGGAAGCAACAGGTATACGGTGACAGCCAGAACACCTCTTTGTATGATGTCGTGTAAAATAATCACACGATAGTTGGTTGTCATTGAGTTTTTTTTTATACTATTCTATGACGCTCGTGAGTAGATCATAAAAGAGAAATCACGAAAAAAAAAATTGGTTTTACATTGAGCATAACAGCGGAGGTCCGAGTTCTTTCAGTGAGCTTGACGTCTAGGTGTTTACAAGACGTCCACCATATGTATGAAGAGTTCAGAAGTGAGTTTTATTTGCCGTCCTTCTTAGTTGATCCTTGAGGTGATCCTTGGGGTGATCCTTGGGGTGATCCTTGGGGTGATCCTTGGGGTGATCCTTGAGGTGATCCTTGGGGTGATCCTTGAGGTGATCCTTGAGGTGATCCTTGAGCTGATCGTTCTTTAGCCTGCAAGAGAAATGAGGGAGGTGTAAGAGAGAGTGTGTGTGGAGGAGAGATACTGCTTTAATCTTCCTACTTAACACTAGTCGGGTCATATTGTTTACTCTACCGTGGCTGTTATAGAGGTCAAGAAATACTCACTTATCCTGGCAGTAGAAATATTTATGGATTATATTAAATACTGTTTCATTGACATTGATAAATATTTGAATCTCTCTCTCTCTCTCTCTCTCTCTCTCTCTCTCATGTTATTTCGTTTGTATTTACTTACTTTCTGTAGTTCCTCTTCTAGCATGACTACTCTCCCCATCGCCGTTTGCCAGTTCTCCTGCAGGTAAAAGAATGATATTAGATTTTTACTTCAAGGAAAAGACCAAAACGATTTGTCTTTCGTGTGTGTGTGTGTGTGTGTGTGTGTGTGTGTGTGTGTGTGTATGTGTTAACTAGAGAACATTTACACCTTGACGAGCGTAAACACGATGAGTTCAAACAGCTAGGTGTGTGTTAGTGTAGTAAGCTCCAGGAGAGGTGGTGGAGGGGGGGGGGGGTGCGCAGGAGGCCACGACCCACATTCACACAGACTCGCGCGTTATAACATCTCAACTGTGTTAACGCATTGAATTGACTCATCTATGCTAGTGGATTATGGGTAACTGCCTAACTATGGTCGAAACTTCACTGAAATGACTATAACTTGATGTGGTCAACTGTCCTCGTATAAATTCTAATTGGAATAAAAAAAGTCAATTCAAACCATATCACTTCATCTATCTGTCCCATTTACCGTTTCCTCTCCTGTCTCATTCACCCTTTCCTCTCCTGTTCCAATCACATCGCACTGTCTATATCAAGAGACTTTAAGCCAATAAGATCATCGCACTGTCTATATCAAGAGACTTTAAACCAATAAGAACATCGCACTGTCTATATCAAGAGACTTTAAACCAATAAGAACATCGCACTGTCTATATCAAGAGACTTTAAACCAATAAGAACATCACACTGTCTATATCAAGAGACTTTAAACCAATAAGAACCACGATATTCTTAAACACAATATCACTAGATGGTCGAATATCAATACATAATATTCGACTCTTATCAAAACGCATCAGACTAACTTTATTTTCACCAGTCTTGTTAATAATAAAATCATATATAGTTTAAAATTAAGTATAGCTAGACAGTAGTTCCTTCGTATATAACGTATAATCTAATTCCTATAAATCACGAATGTACAAAAAAAAAAAATCGATAAAAATAAGATGGAATAAACGAGAGAATAATTTATTGCCGATAGAAACCCACAGAAACGAAATGAATCTGTGAGAAAAAAAAAAACTCTGAGGGTAAATTGGATCATGATAATAGAATGGTGGATAGGAGAGGACAAGAGAAGACAATCTAGAATAATGTAATAAGATAGAATGGATGATAAGATGAAAGGAAATAAAATCAAAGAAGATTAAGAACAGAGGTGATTTTATAGTCGGGAAAAGGAAGAGGGAGAAGAAAAAGGAATAAAGAAAAGACGAGATAAAAAAGATTGAGGCAAGACAATGGAAAAAGAAAACAAATATAATAATAAAGACAAATAAAAAGACAACAGTTATAATAAAGAAATAAATAAGAATGTGTTAAACCGAAGAAAGTAAGACAATGTAAGAAATGGACAGAACATAACAGACAATAAATGACGGGAGACAAATACACTGACAGAAAGTGTTTGTTTATTCCTGTCTTTAATATGTGTTGTTTCACCTGTCCCTCTATCTCCCCCCTCCTTCCTTTCTCTCCCTCTTCCTACTTCTCCATTCTTCTCCCTTTGTCTTTCATCCTATTTCTTCATCCTCCTCCCCCCTTTTATCTTTATCCCCATTTCCACCCTATCCCCCTCCTCCCCATCTTTCTCTCCATCTATATCCTCTTCCTCATTTCTCTCGCCTCTCCATCATTACTCTCCTTCTCCCTTCCCATCTCTCCATCCATCTCCTCACTTCTCCTGCATCCCATCTCTTTCACCTACACATTCTCCCCTCCTCACCCTCCCCCCTCACCCCTCCCCTCACCACCCCCCCTCACCACCCCCTCACCACCCCTCCCTCACCACCACCCCCTTCAGTACTGGGGAATGACTAGACATGGTGTTGGAGACGATAAACACACCCAGGGTCACTCGTGTTTTACCCAATTGCATCCCATGGAAAAAAAAAACAGCATCTCTTTCTTCATTTCATTTTCTAATCCTTTAAATTCTCAGTAATTGGTTTAATGTGTCGGATTCTTCCCTGGCATAATGAGTTGAGTGACTGTAGGTAACTGGAGGAAAAAATGTCTTGGTAAAGCCTTTAATCCGGTAATTCACTGTAAATTGGTTTCTTTTTTTGTATTCATGTGGGAGGGAAAAAACAGGGAGGTGTGTTATTTTTCTGGTCTATATGATGGTTGTGAGAGATAACAGGTGTGACAGGTGTACGTGGTGTAATGAGGGTGGTAAGTGACATGGTGGTTCTTCTGCTCCGTAAGACTGCCAAGGTGGGAAGAGTGTCGCAAACAAGACCATAAACGTGGTTATTGTATTTTTTTTTGCAGCAAATGATATTAACCTAATCTAACCTATCCAAGGAAGATTTCGGTTAGGTTAGGTTAATAAGTATGAGGTTTCGTGGTCCTGTTCGTGGTACTGTTTTGAACATGGACCATATTACCTGGAATTATCTCACCTGAGTTTTCATCTGTGTGTCCCAAGCTGACTTTTGTTACGTAAGTAAAGGCAAGAAATATTTAACTACTTTACCTTTTAGAAATTACCTTTTGCCTGTGATGATGTAAACTAGTCAGTACTGTTCCTTCTATGTGTACAGTCACTCAAAAAAACTATCTGTACTTGGGGTGATCGATGAATTTCAGAATGAACACTGTGACTCCTCTTGTCTTGGGAGGGTTGTCAAAATCCTTCGTCCGTTGTGCCATATTATCTCAACACAATTTTGTATTGATAGTTTTTTGAGTGACTGTACTATAATACTGTACAATGATCTTAACTAATAGTAATAATGTACTGTAATTATTCTCATACTTCTATATCTATAGTGGTATTTACTGTTTTAAGATTATTCATATTTCATATATCCCTTCATAAAGAAACAAGTTTTTCATTAATTTCTTCACCAACACAAGTGGTACACATTATCTACATAACAATAACAATATTCTTATATCATTATTTACATTGTATAGGAAAAATCTTAAAATAACTTGTATGAGGTAAAAAGCCGAACTTAAATGTGGAGAAAATGAACACAGTATTTAGAGTTTTCTTTGTGGTAAAATACATCGACGACGCTGAGTAAAATGTTTAGACAAAATTCGGACATCATTAAAGTTTCGATATTTTTTTTTTCTTTGTGGGTAAACAGGGCGATGGTGTAACTGAGTGGCCGTGGGCAGTGTGAGCGTCAAGGACATAGTGGAGGAGTCACGCTGGCCTGTACCGCTGGGCCCACACCACTCAATAATTACGCCTCACATAAACGAGAAAACGCTTCAGTTAATCTGTGTAAAACTTAACGGAATGAAAGAATAAATTGACGCTGGCTGCTGTATTAGATTTATGAATTGAATTATAATTTAAAATACGATTAAAGTGATGGAACTGCTAAAGGAAATTATCCCCAGAATAATTTCAATCTCGATCTCAACCATTGTCTCATTACACAACCTAAATAATAAATTGTCCTCATAAGGTTAAAATATTAAAATTAAATTAACTGGTTAACTTCAACTAGAACACGAAATTAACATCCACAGATAACACCGAAATAACGTTACCTTAACTACACACGTTAATTGAGAACTAGTCAACAGAAACATCTAAGAATCTTTAACTTTATTCGTAATTGATAATAACTGGACATATTTCTAGATAAGGTAGAATCTTAAGTGTAAATTTTAGTCAATTTTTGGGCGATATATTTTTTTTTCACTTAGATTAATGATTTAAGTACAATATATATTTTTTTAAAGTATTTTTAACGAGAACCTTTATGAATTTGTATCTGATACCAAATATGTTTACCCTTGAGTACGATGATTTAACCCATTGACTATGATAACACCGTACTCAAAGGGTTCAGTCATCGTACTCAAGGGATTAAATCATCGTTCTGAAGGGGTTAAATCATCATACTCAAGGGATTAAATCATCGTCCTGAAGGGGTTAAATCATCATACTCAAGGGATTAAATCATCGTTCTGAAGGGGTTAAATCATCATACTCAAGGGATTAAATCATCGTCCTGAAGGGGTTAAATCATCATACTCAAGGGATTAAATCATCGTTCTGAAGGGGTTAAGTCATCATACTGAGGCCGCTTAACCTCCTATGCTAGCTTCCAACAGTTACACGGTTATATCTTGTTTAATTTGTTACGGTAAGAACAATGGTCAGTAATGCTACGGTATATTCAATGACGGTGTACAGTTGCAGACACAATTCCCTGGACACTCGGTACTATTTGTCATGTAAGCACTTGAGGATCATTAGGTGAAGGGGATTGTAATTTTAATGCATTTTCTCAGGTTTTTCTTTGAATTAATGAGTTTTTTTTTTTTTTTACCATTTTCTGGTCCCGACATTGTGTGATGAAAAGTAGTGTTATTAGAAATACACCCAGATGTAGATACCAGATATTGTTAAGTGTACCTGTATTTATGCCTTACTAATGGTAATTACTCTACCTGTACTTATACTTGGGGTAATTACTATACTTGTATCTATACCTAACTCGGGGTAATTACTGAACCTGTATCTATGCCTAACTAGGGGTACATGTAATTACTGTACCTTTATATATGCTGAAAGTTGTTTATACTGATGATTCCGAGTTAAAAGATTCTGTATACTAATCTATGTCGATGACGAGTGTTGACAGTATGGTATAGTGGCTGAGGATCTAGAGATACGAGCAGTGTGTTGTGGGACTGACTCAGGGTCGCTGCAGTGTTAGCCATCAAGGAAGTATCGAAGCATGGGTGACCTCGGCTGTATACACATGATTTACGCATGATTTACGCATAATCTACGCATGATTTACGCATGATCTACGCTAATCATACGGTCCATCTACGTCAAATAATAATATATTGTGTACTTGATGAACATATAATATACGCTGTAGATAAATTTCCCTAAATGGTGATATTTCTTTCTACAGGAGGATAATAATCTGTTGTGGGAATTCAATTGATGTACTAAATTAAATACTACATAATACTGGTTAATACTACTGTTAAATACTACATAATACTGGCTAATGCTGCTGTAAA